TGTCACAGGACGACATTAAACACACGCCCCCTCCTCCTGCCCATTGAGCCCAGCATCGACATCCCAGAAGTTAATTGCAAGATTGTCCAAAAACACAATGGACATGGGCTGAGGGCCATGTTGGTCCATGGGTTATAAGAGAAGTGGGCTTTTCCAACGATTTTGAAAAACGCTTTTCTTATTAGATTCCCCTTTCCTATAAAACAATTTCTGGAACCAAAACATATGTTTTGGTTTTGTTAAGAATTGTTTTTTAATGTGAAGAGTCTGCGTCACAGCCCTGGAGAGTTTCTGGGTGGCAGCTGCAGCACAGTCCTGAAATAAAAGATGCTCCCACGATGCTACCATCCTGAGGGCCCCCGCTCTTCCCGCGGCAAGGCAGGAGGTCTAGAAAGAGGCCTTGACCCCTCGCCTGCCTGTCTCCTCTGGTCTCCCAGCACCAACCTTCAGAACGTTTTCCAGATAAGAAGAAAAGCTGTAGCGACAAAGAAAATACAGCAGTCTGGCGTCACTAGGCTGTGGCAAGAAGAGTCTGGGCTTTGGAGTCAGACAAAAGCGGGTTCGATTTCTGACTCTACCTGGGATCAGACCCTCGATTTTCCAGAGTCTCAATTTCCTCACTTATAAAAAGTGGATAATGACACTCTCTTAATGGGGTATTTTGAGGATTAAAGATGATACTGTTAGGTGCTCAGTATAAAGGATGGATGGGAATTAAAAGAATGAAAAAACATTTAAATAATGATGACTAGAAGACCAAAGGGCCTTCAAAACCCAAAGGTGGCCCTTAAATGGTTGGTTTTCAGGTACAAGGAGAGGTTAGTGAGAAAGAGAGAGTTATTTTCTTGGGGGGGCGGGTGAAGGACAGTATGAAGAACAGTTGGAGATTTTCAAAGCTTTGTGTGAGAGATTCTACTAGTTACCCAGCCAAATCCATCCTTCCTGGGCACATAGCAGGGTTGTATTTCCCAGTCCCCCTTGTGGTTAAGGGTGGCATGTGACCAAATTCTCTCCAGTGGAATGTGAGTGATAATATCTGGCCTTTGGGGGCTCAGGCCTTAAGATCATGGGCATGTCTCTTCTGCTTTTCTCTTCCCACCAGCTGCAGCCCAGATGTGGCTGCAAAACTAGCTTCAGTCGTGTAGATCATAAATGGGCTCTGCAGATGGCAGAGCAAAAACTTGGAAGGAACCTGGGTCTTGACAGACTGAGTGCAGCAGAGCTGCCAGCCATCATAGACTATTACGTGAGAGAAAAATCAACTCTTTTGCTCCCTAAGCCATAGTTTTATAGGCTCTCATTGTTATAGCTGCTGAGCTCTGCCCTGACATCTGGTATGGATCATCTTGGGTGGGGCATCCGTTCCTCAGGTTGGCTTCCTTTTTTTTTTTTTAAAGATTTTTATTTTTCCTTTTCCTCTCCAAAGCCCCCCAGGTACATAGTTGTGTATTTTTAGTTGTGAGTCCTTCTAGTTGTGGCATGTGGGACACCGCCTTAGCATGGCCTGACAGCAGTGCCATGTCCGCACCCAGGATCCAAACTGGCAAAACCACAGGCCACCGAAGTGGAGCGCGTGAATTTAACCACTCGGCCACGGGGCCGGCCCACAAAGTTGGCTTCCTTTTAATAAACAATAGGCAGCTGTGGTACAATGGAAAAAGCCCTAGACTCAAAATTAGGATATTTGGCTCCTTAGTGAAAATAATTAGCACTTTGTGCTTTGCGTTATAGCTGACAAAGATTTCCTCTGTGAGGCCTGGTTTCCTCATCTGTAAGATGGCAACCACAGAAGTATGAGGAGAGTAAGTGAAAGTGTCATAAATCATCGAACATCATTCACATGCCAGGGCCTCTTGACATACTGGTTGATGGAGGGCCCTGGACGTGCTCTGTCTCAGCTGAGTGGCAGCAGAGGGGGTCATCGGCAGAGGAGCTGGGGCACAAAAGTGGCCGGAGTCTGCTGCTGCATGCAAGGGGCCACAGGGGGATGGACTCCTAGCCCACTAACTGCCACAATGTGCAGCATTCCCGATACAGTGAGAGCCTGTGTAGCCGCTCACGTGACAAAGAACGGTCCCCGCAGAGGAGTGCGGCATGGAAACAACAGCGGCAGCCGCGCGGCCGCCTTCTGAGACAAATGCTTGAGTTGGCTCTAAATGCCAACATCCTTAGCTAATCTAAGTAATGCATGAGCAGGAAGAATTTGGTGGCTGGGAGCCCAAGTGGAGTTGTATAAAGAACTCTTCAGAGCAGCTAGTAACCTCTGAGCGGTAGGCCCAAGAGCATGATGGGAAATGTAACCTTTAATCAAGTCTGAGGGGAGAGGGGCTGCTGAGAGGGCTGGGGGCGGGGGCTCGGGGCTTGGCAAGAGGCAGGCTGCTCAGGGGCCTCCGGCAGGGTGTCCACCACACCACAGATGGTTTTCGTCACTGTGGTTCATTTGTTCCGGGTGAGATGGGCCCCTTGCGAGTCAGGAGTCCTGGATTAGAATGTCTACCATCCTCTTGTTAAAGAGGCCAAGAGGGGCTCAGCCAAAAACTCCAGGGAAAAGACGTCTCTCCCCTTGAGAAGGGAGGCAGCCTCTTGCCTCAGAGGTGATGGCCCCGTGATTTTTTGAACTGGAAAGTCCATCCAGAGATCTGCTCCCCCATTCCCCACCCCCCACTACCATCTCCAACTCTCGTTTTACAGTTGAGGGAACTGAGGCCGAGAGTGGGGAACAAAGTTCCCAATGTCACACAGCAAGTTAGGGTCCTTGGAGATCCTCTCCCCCAATCCGAAGCACCCCACCAGTCCTCGCCCCATTATTTTCCAGTACACGGGTACTGAGGTGCAGAGAATGTGACAAACTCGATTTCAGGGCAGAAGGGGAGCAGCCAGGTTCCCTGGTCCAAATCCAGGGCATTTTGACCACCACAGTTCAGCCTCTTCTCAGCTGAGAGTGATGGCCGTCAAGGCCCCTCCTGTTGGGGCTCACTGGCTCTCTCTGCAGCTGTTAGCAGTTGGGGAAGATCCCTGAAGGACAGGGGGTGGTCTGCTGCCCAGAGGGTCAGATGCCCGCCCTTGAACCAATCAGCTGTGGCCAGGAGGCAGCATAATTGCAGATCCTGGCTGCTCCTACAATAAGCAGGTAGACAGAGCTGCGGGGAGGAGATTCCCAGGAGAAGGGGACGCTGAGCAGGTGATGTCCGTGGATGTACGCTGCAGCCTCCTTGACCTCGACTCTCCTCATCTGTAAAATGGGGACAATAATTGTGCCCAAACCACAGGGCTGTTATAAAGAGTAAACAGCATAAAATATGTAAAGTCTGACATAAGTACCTAATACATATTAGTTCCCTTCTCCCTTTGTTTTTTCAGAAGTATTTCTAAAATTGGAAGCTATCTCCTATACCAAATATGGTAAAAGGGAAAGTGAAAGTTTGTCCTAAAATCTCCAGATTGAAGAAGGGGAGTGACACGATCCAACTTTTAATTTTTAGAGATGCCTCCGGCAACCGGATGGACCATGATCAGGGAAGGAGGAATGGCTGGAAGTGGGGAGAATGGTTAGGAAGCTACTGCAATGGTCTGGGCAAAAGATGCCTGTGCTTGGTCCAGAGTAGTGGAGTGAAGATGGAGAGACAGAAGTGGGACAGATGTGAGATATTCTGAAAGTAGAGGTGACAGCACTTGGATGTGGGGAATGAGAGGCAGGGACGAATCACTCACAGCTCCTCAGTTTGGGGCTTAATTAATTGCTTTTTAAAAAAATTTATCTTCATTTTCTTTTTCCTGGGTGGTTTAGTGACTTATTCTTTTAAAAATATATTGGGCTTATTTTGAGTCATTAATGCTTTCACATGATACAGAATAAAGACATAAAAGGTATACAGCAAAAATTCTTCCTCCTCCAACCACCAAGTCCTCTGCCTGGAAGCAACCCAAATTACAAATTCAATGTGCATCCTTCTAGGGATAGGCTATGCATATAGAAGCATATAGAAGCAAATGTATATATGGATACACATATATTGATCACACACACATATGGGAATATAGATATATTTCCCCTTTATAAAGAAATAATAACATACTATACACATTTTTCTACGCTTTCATTTTTCTACTTAGGGATACATCTTGAAGATTATTCCTGTCTTAATTATCTACTGCTGCATAACAAATTACCCCAAAACCTAGCGGCTTGCAACAAGAGTTCTCTCTCAGTTTCTGTCGCTCGGGAGCCTGGGCACTGCCTGACTGGGTCCTCTGCTCAGGGCTTCTCCCAGGCTGTCACCAAGGGGTCAGCAGGGTTTGTAGGCAGCTCAAGGCTCAGCTGGGATCAGATGCAAACCTCCTTCTTGAAGCTGTTGGCAGGATTCAGTTCCTTAGGAGCTGCTGGACCCGGTGGCTTAGTTCCTCTGGGGTCCTGGCCACATGGGCATCTCCAACACAGCAGCTTAGAGCATGAAAGTGAAGGTAATGAGAAGGAAGGGAGTGCAAGCAAGTTGGAAGTCCAGGCTTCTAGAGCCTAATCTGGGAAGAGACATCCCTCACTTGTGCTGTATTCTACTTGTTAGAAGAAGGCGTTAGGTCCAGCTGTCTCCCTAGCCCCACCCCGACCACCACACACATGCACACAAACAAGGAGGGGATTACACATGGGTGTGAATACCAGGAGGCAGGATCAGTGGGCACTATCTCAGAAGCTGCCGACTGTAATTCTCCAGCAGCACCTCATGAAAAGCATGCTTCGTTAGTTCCAGCCTTCCATGGTACGGACGGGCCCTTGTCCCTTTCTCCAGGGCTCTGCTGATAGGTTGACGAGCTAATGTCTTTTACCCCTACTGGTTGGGAAGCTCATGGGAGCAGGGATCTTGTGTACATGCTGCATGTAGCTGGCACTCGGCTAATAGTGTGCTCTTTTGGGTGTGTGGGAGGCGGAGAAAGGTTTCTTGGTTCTGTTTTAATCAGGAGTGCACTGGGTGATAAACTGTTGCTTCTTCTGTGTGGAACAGTGGCCGCTTTGAATGGATGTTTTGGAAGATTTTTGAAACTCCAATCCAGAGGACCACAGAAAGCACATTTGGACATGACTGTCGCCTGGAAAAGAAACTGTCAAAAGAGCCGGGACCAGGCTGGGCTGGACACACATAATAGACACAGAATATCCTGGACGCTGATCTTGGGCCAGTCCGTATTTCTGTAATTGTTCTGCTGTTCACAAAGAGCAAGACCATGGCCTTAGGAGGGGGGTAGATTCCGCCAAAGGAAAGTTCCCCTGCCAGTCATCCGGGAAGAAGACTACTGGGGCAGAAAATGAGGACTCAGGATGTGGGCCTTTGGGTTGGTAGAGAAGTTTGTTCTCTCTTTCTCTTTCTTTCTGTCTTAAGAAAGTGGAGTCTACCCTATGAGGGAAGACATGCTCCCAGCCACCCCAGAGGTGGCCTGCGCTGGACCCTGCCATGTGGAGCAAGCTGGGGCTGGTCAGGTAGGTGGCCCTGGGTACCAGCCTGGGATCTGTGGGCCCTGAGGACAACCACATTGATCAAAGTTGTGGGTATGACCGTGTTTTACTCTCCTTCCACGATCCCCAAATTTTGTCAGCTCCTGCTAAAGCTGTGCCTGGGTTCTGTTAAGTATGATGCTTTGAGAACAGGGCCCCAGACATGTTTGGGTATGAGTGGCTAAGAGGACTCCACAGTGGTGTGCTCAGTGGTGGCAGCTACCACAGAGGATGGCCATGTCTGGCAGGGTGGGTGTCACAGAGGGTGTGGGGACCTACCGAGGAAGCTGGAGGGGAAGAACATAAAGGGCAAGCTCTGGGGCTGGCACAACCCAGCAGGAGGGGCTCTCCGGACTAGTGCGGGACACGCTGCAGGGGCTGAGTGCCCGTGGGGGCCAGTAGGGTTCAAAGAAAAACGTAATTTGAGTATTTAATGGCGATAAGATGGTTTATTATCATTGGTGGGGGAAGCCTGAACATAGCCATTCTATTAGAATTCTATTAGTAATAAAAATAGGTAATACCAACAATCTAGTGTGTCAACATTTTAACAGAACTTTTCACTTCACAAAGAGTTTTTACATATGCTCATCTCTAGCTGATCCTCAAATAATCCTATAAGATATGTAGAACAGGTATTAGAATAATTATTCTTATTAATTACCAGGATGAACCACACTAAATCTCTGTATTTATAGGTCAAATGTGGTTAACTGTCAACAGTTTATATGGTTCAGCTTAATGTTATTACACAAATCATAACCATAATCATTATTATAAATGACAACAATAAGAGGTACCTCTTTTAAAAAACATTGTGTACCTGGCATATTGCTAAGCTCTTAGCACGTTTTGTTACTGAGTTCTCACGAGAGTTACAGAGATGAGTACCACAGTGGATACAGCAGTGCTCCTCCTGGATCTGCATTCGAGGCTCACGCACCCATTCTCGGCTGTTGGGAACATTGGTACTGATGTCTCACAGCTCCTTCTCTCCCTGGGAATTGTCCTCGGCCACAAGTCGCTGCCTCCACCAAGGCGAGGCCCAGTCCCTGAGGGCAGTCTGCAGCCAGTGACTGGCTGATGCAGGAACAGAAAGGCCCGGCCTCCTTTCTTCCATTTGGGGCCCTCTGAAGCTCCCCTTAGCTGGAAGATCACACACATGTCTCCTACAGAACCCATCTTCACCTCCTCTCTATCTGATGGACAACAAGTCAAATCCCAACTGTGCTGGGCCTGCTAAGGGAGGAGACAGACTAGACGCCAAAGGACCTACAGGATCTGGCTAATCATTCAGGCAGGAAGTGTCCACAGACTGAATCCTGAGGGGGCCAGATCAAGAGAAGAGGAACGTGAAGTTGGATAAGAGCAGGCGTTGGTATGGAAGTACTCGCCCAGGTACAGCCTTTAACACCCTGGCAAGGAACCCAGGAGATGGTGCTAACACACTTTAAAGATGGATAGAAGCTTGGGAAAAGCAATGGTCCATATGAAGTGAAGCAGAAATGTCAGAACTGCCGTAGCAAAGAGTGGAGGAAGAGATCAAAAGGCTCAGAGAAGTGGGCATGCTAAAGTGTTTGTAGTACACAAGGCCAGAAACCCACCAGCCAGCTCTGCTCTGAGGGTGCCCTGGAGACACTTTATCTATCAAAGCAAGAAAGAATGAGCTGGTGAGGGAGGCACCAGATTTACTGACAGTAGGAGATGCTATTACAGAACTGGGCTCCGGGATACTTATGGGGTTTATAGACTCCCAAAGTAATAGAGGTCAGGTGGTGGTGCTTAACCTTCAGAGCCCAGGTGGGTGCAATCATTGCAATGAGCAGCAAAATCAGAGTGGCAGTCAGGAGGGCCTGACCCACAGAGGGCTGTGGAGATGGTTAAAAGAACACAGTGTTCCCAGAGGCAAGATAGATGGGAAGCCAACAATGTATTGCTTAGTTTAGACAATCAAAAGAAATCAAGGATGGATGATCAGGTTGCTAAAGGCAGCCGCCCCTAGTAAAATGTCATGATTCCTTACCCTGTTTCTGGACCCAAGCCGTTGACTAAAGGACCTGCAACATCACAGAAATTGTATTCAGTAGTATTTCCCCAGCTCTTTTCGAAAGGAATCCATGGCCATTTATTTGTGTAACTGAGCGTGAGAAGGGGGGAACAGCAAGGACTTTGAAGAATTGTTGACTACAGGCTCTGAACTAACATTGGTATTTGGTGACCCAAAGGGCCATTATACGCACCCCCACTGGAGTGAGGGAGTATGGGAGCCAGGTAATACTGGAGCCCTGGCCTTGCTCCAGCTCGCAGTGAGTTCCCTGGGTCCACGGGTGCACACTGGTTACTTCCCTGTGCCTGAGCATGTGATTGGAATGGACATACTTGGTAGCTGGTAGGATCCCAGCACTGGCTCCTTGACCTACGGAATATGAGCTAGTGTAGTGAGGATGGCCAGTTGAAGTCTCAAAACTGCTCCCTCTCTCTGGCCACGACAGTAAAGCAAACACAAGACTATCCCAGGGGGAATGGCAGGAATTGGTGCCACCTTCCAAGATGGAAGAATACAGGGATGGTCTCTGTTGTATTCCCATTTATTTCACCGGCCCCTACAAAAACTGGATGAAATGGCTGATGAGAGTGAACTACCACAAACTTAACCGAGCAGTGGCTCCCATTGTTGCTATGGTGCTAAGTACAGTGTCTTTGCTGGAGCAGATCAACACAGCCTCCGGTACACGACGCATGACCATTGAGATGTTTATTACCTTCTTTTCTACCCTGTCCGAGAGGGGAATGAAATCAGCTCACATTCACATGGAGCAGATGACAGGACACATTTGCATCAGAGCTATGTTACTCTCCCGCCTCCTCCCATAACATGGTCTGAAGGGACCGAGCCCATCTGGACATTCCACAGAACATCACAGGAGTTCACCATACCAATGATGTCATGTTAATGAGACCAAAGGAGCAAGAAGTGACAAGTAGGATGCATTCCCTCTAGAGGGTGGGAAATAAATCCCACCCAGGTTCAGGACCCAGACACATCAGTGAAGCGTGCAGAGGTCCAGAGACCTGGGGACATCCCCTCCCAAGGGAAGAATGTAAAGAACAAATGCTGGGACATCGCCAGCACAGGGGAGTCTGGGCTTGTGGGAAACTGTCCCCCACAGCTGCAGCTGATATCAGAGGAAGGCTGAGGGGATGTGACACAGGACACTAGAGGTGTCTACTATACCCTATTTTACCCATGAGGCAACTAAGTCTCAGAGAGATTGAATAAATTGCCCCAAAACACGGAGCTGGCAAGTGGTGAATCTAGGATTAAAATCTAGTTCTGTCTGACTTCAAAGCCCATATTCTTTAATACCTGTGTTGGATAGCCAAGGAGCCTGGGAACAGAGCACTTATGGCCTCTGGCTGTATAGTGACTTCCCCAAGAAGCAGGCTCTGAGACAGACTGGCCTGCAGCGAGTTTACTGGGAAGTCCTCTTGGGATCAGCAACCCGGGGGAGAGGAGAAGGCAGGACTGGGCAAAGAGAAAGGCTGGGCTGGGATGCACCACTACAAAGGCCTCAAACAATCCCACAGGTTGCTCTGGAGTTGGGGTGGCTCTGCAGTGATGTTGCCTGTTGGCAAGAGGGGGCCGAGCCTTTCTATTCCTACATGGAGGCAGTCCTTGGGCTGTCCAAGGGACAGGAGGTCACCTTGAGAGAGGTGGTCCTTTTGGTCAAGGGCAGTTCCCCCTGGGGGCTCAGCTGAGAGCCCTCAGCCTTCAACACTTCTCACTGCTGGGGGCCCGGCTGCTTCAGCCCTGGAGGGGTTCTGGGTGACGCACCATAGCATCCCCTGCATCTCTCCACGTCGCCACAGCTAGTGGCTGAGTGGGAACACAAATGCAGGTCCTTGGACTGCAAACCTAACATGGTTGGCCCTATTTTTCCAGCTCCATAATATGCTCCTCTCTCTCAGGGTACACAGCCAAGGCCACGGTCTCCAGCTGGGAATCACTGATGAGAAAGAACAGTAGGCCCCTCAAACTTGATCAGATCAGACGGAGAGGGTATTGTTAAGTAGAAATCTCATCCACATCTGAGGAGACAGAAGAAATTTACTTCATTCAAAAATATTTACTGAGGGCTGGCCCCGTGGCCGAGTGGTTAAGTTCATGCGCTCCGCTGCAGGCGGCCCAGTGTTTCGTCAGTTTGAATCCTGGGCGCGGACATGGCACTGCTCATTAAACCACGCTGAGGCGGCGTCCCACATGCCACAACTAGAATGACCCACAACTAAGAATGTACAACTATGTACCGGGGGGCTTTGGGGAGAAAAAGGAAAAAATAAAATCTTTAAAAAAAATATATTTACTGAGTGCTTACCATACCCCAAGCTCTGCTCTATGTGCTGGAGAAACAAGAAGAAAGGATACAACCTCCCGCCCTGTAGGGTTTCCTTTCTGTGGAGCGGACACCAGGCAGCCCTGGTCCTCCAGAGCATCAAGCAGATTTGCATTCTTGAGAGAAGGAGGAGCAAAATGTGTCTCTTGTCTTTTCATAAAATGCCTACAGGAAAATAACACTCAGTTCATTCTGCATCTGATTATCTGCCTTATATAAGTAAACGAGTGAGGAAAAAGGAACCAGGAATGTTGGTAACAGTTGTCACCTCTGGGAGGGAGGAAGATGGGTGGGGTGGGGGAATAAAGGGGTACTTTAATTTTCTTTCTCTCCCTCCCTCCATCTCCCTCCCTCCCTTTCTTTCCCGCACTTCCTCACTTGCCTGGTGTGCTCAGGGCACAGCTGCCGGGTACACTGGCATGTGTCCGAGACAGCCGTGCTTTCTCCTCAGCTCTGGCTTCAGGTCTGGAACAGTGGTTGGAATCTCCCTGCCCTGTCTTCTCTGTCCCTTGACTTGAGCGGCTCCTCTTGCTGTCAGCTGGGAAGGGGAGGGAGGTACCTGGAGATTCCGTAGATCGGGGCACAGATCTGGGAGAGTTGGGGGAATGACAGAGTTATTTCACAGACTGTTTTTTACTTTACATAGTTCTGCACGACTTGAATGTTTTATAACACGCGTGCTTTGTGCATTGCCTGTCTAGCTGTTGCTGTTGTGAGTTTTTTTGCTTGTTTATATCTCTTTTGTTGGCACTGTGGAAAAAAGACTGGCTGCCAAGCCAGTCCTGCCTCGAGACTTCTCAGAGCAAAGATCTCTAGGCCAGCAGCTGCCTTTGGCTAAATGGTGATGGGGATCATTCTGCCTGCAGGAACCCAGGCCTCTCTGTCTGGGTTCTCCCTTTGTGACCATGTCCTCTCCCCTCTCTCACTAAAACCCATTCCATTGAAAGGTTCTGATTCTGACTGTGGGTCATCCCGCGGAGGACGACGGTCTCTCCAGATGGGCTCCTTCCCCCTGGGGCCTTTGCACTGTATGCTGGACCTTCTTGCTCAGGGTGAAAGGCTCTGTGTCTTGAGACAGGAACATCTGGCAGAGCTGCTGATGCTGGGATCTGGCAATGGCACACCCTCCCTAGAGATGACTTGAGAGTGGGGGGTGAGGGCCAGGCTGACTGTGGAGGCAAGTTGTAGGATCTGTCGTCAAGAGCTTTGACTTGCTCCTGCCCACCATTCAGTGCCCACTTTTCTGGTGACAGCACCACAATTTTGCTGTAGTAATTGACCCGTCTGTCATTTCATGCAGTCTTGGTGGGACTACCCATCAAGGGACTCCTCCATCCCTGGCCAAGGGATGGACCAGGTCACCTAAGTTAGGCCAATCAGAGACGTTTCCGAGGAAATTGAATCTTGAGCACATGATAC